AAATGTAACCAAGACTGAAGTAAGAAATCTGATAGGTCCCAAAGAAAAAAAAAACGAGAGTAATCAATTATTCCTTAGCATGCACAAGAATTCTGCAGAATAAGTAAATTCAATTCTCAGGGTTCATTTCAAAACTCTTCTTGACTTTATGGAATCTTGGTTTCGATAATTAGTGATTTATGTCAGGGCAAGCCATTTCCCTCCAAAAGAAAATTTTTCCTCAAATAATTGGATTAGATCTACCACCAGTAATTAAAACAGAATATATCATCTCTACTGTCTTAGACAAACAACAACCATGTCTGACTGGCATGGTAAAATGAGCTTAATGGAGTCAGAAGATAAGAAGCTCTTAGAGGAGAGAGCATAGTATTCAATACATGCAAAACTATTTTATTTTATAGTTATTAAAAAAAAAGTATCACCCAAAGCTTGGTAGTGGTCACACAGACTTATTTTGATTGTGGCATTTATTCGCAAAGAACTCTTTCTTGTATTATGGGATGTAGCAAACATAAAAATAATAATTTACTTCTGAAGTAAAAAAATACATTTATGGTTATAACATATGCACATCTAGCCAATTTCTTTCTTATACTACTTGGATGAAGAAAACTATGTTATCTTCAATTTACTGAAATTATTTACAAGGTTCTCTTCTTAATATCACTGGTTACTGCATTCAATAATAGTTAGGAATCAAAAATTAGAATTAATTTAAAATTTCTGTCTTAAAATTTAAACCTTTGACTAAATTCATCAAATTAGATTAAAATAATAAAAGCAGAACCATTCTAATCTGCAAAAAAAAATTACAACAGAAAACAAATGACAAGATAAGTATTTTTTAAATTTCTAATTTGTGATCCAATACAAGAATGTATTAAAATTGAAAGGAATGGGGAGGGCATAACTCAAGTGGTAGAGTGCATGCTTAGCATACACAGGTCCTGGGTTCAATCCCTTCCTCTAAAAATAAACAAATATGTAAACCTAATTACCACCCCCAAATATAAATAAAAATAAATAAAACTGAAAGGAAGATAATACATTTATCCATTCACTCAGTGATTCCAAAAACAAATGTTTACTATATTACAAAGCATTATATTAAATCTTGCAATGGATAAAAAGTAATATAAAAAATAATTCCTATCCTTAAGAGTCTTAAAATTGCAAGGGAAGTGAAGGCATGTGCATAATACAAAATAGCAACAAAATACATACATAAAACAAGGCAGTATTATGACAAAGTGACATCAGTTAAACAAGGATTCAGAGGAGTGAGTTTCCAGCATGTATCAGTGAATGTTTCATGTAGGAAATACTCTTGAGTTGGATAATAAAAAAAAAGGTAAGATGGACAATGTGATGAGATCCCAAACTAAGGAAATATCATATAACAAAAAAAAAGGAAGTGAGAAACAGAATGGAGGTGTTCTCAAAATTTCTCATTAACACACATCCTTGGGCACTGAGCAGCGCAGTCCAAAGCCCACAATTTCTTTGAAATCTATTGTGTATCTTAAAAATAATACATAGAATTTATGTTCTACTCCTTAATGGAGTATCTGTGCTGGTTTTAATATAAAACTGACATTTTTCCTCTCAAAATTTTCCAGCAAAACTAATACTACAAGGAGATCGCCATGCTTAACCTGAGTGCGACTGCTCCCCAAAGGATGCCAGTCAGAAGCCGAGAGCGTGGAGTGAAGGGCAACACAGGTGGAAGGAGACATGGCTTAGGAGCAGAGAGTGGAAGGTGGTTAGCCCACCAGGCTAGACTGTTCAGACATCATTCAGAGGACAGCGTGGAACCATGAAAAATATATTTCAAACCAGGGAAAGACATTTGACTTTTTAGCAAGATTAGTCTGGCAAGGACACAGAGGATGAAGCCACTCATTCAATAAATATGTGGGGGCATTTTTATGTGGCAGGTACTGATCTAGCCGCTGGATAACTGAACAAGAGGCATCAATCCCTGCCCTTATGCAGCTTACATTCCAGTATGGGGAAATAAACAACAAATGAGCCAAAAAACGTAATGAGACCAGACAGGACGAAGAGATCACAAACAGGAGAGCGATGATTGTAAAGGAAAGGCAGGGATGACTACTAACAGGGGACAGACTTGGCTTCTGATTCTGCCTACGTGACTGAGGTGATGACTAACATCAGTACTAAGCTCAGAAATCAAGGCGTTAGGACGATGGTTCTATCGGAAAAGAGTGGACAAAAATGGGTTGTTTCAGATTTGCAGGCCTAGTGGTGCCTGTCAACCTCACAGATGACAATCCAAGACTCTGGGAGTTTAGGTCTGGAGATACAGACTTCATGACGACGTGCAGCCAGACAGGAGTGGAAGCCACAGGACGGAAAAGGAGAGAAGCGAGAGCAAAGGGCAAAAGACGGACTTGATACATGTCCATGAGGGTAGGAAAAAAATCAGGTCAGAGAAGAGAGACTCCAAGAGCAAATGAGAAAAACCCAGGTGATGATGAGGAGCTGTGGGAAGACCCTGCAAAGGAGATGTCAGTGTGCATATGCATTTTCATCCTCCTCACCTGTTCATTCTTCCTCTGAACCCACTCCTTGTGCTTTTCTTCAGCAATTATTTTTCTCTTTTCACGTTCTTCCACTTCTTTCTTTTTTTCTAGCTGTTGATTTAATTCCTGTGGATTTTATTCAAACAAAAGGCAACATTTAATAGAGGTACTCAAATCACATATTTTTCAAGTCTGAGGTTAACCAAATTAAACAACAATATAGTTTCCTTTATAGAAAATATACCATTACTGACAATAGCTTACTTAAGTAACTAGTCTATGATGAAAAGAAAGCATTGGTTAAAAAGTATAAGTCATTTTTTAGAAATGCAAATAATTGCTTGGCAGCAAAACACTAGTTTCTTAGACTAAACTTCAGCTAAATTACCCTCATTGAAATCAACTTTCCCACACATAAATTTTGGCATCACTGTATACTACTGGCAGAAGCTCAAGAGAATTGCAACTTTTTTTTTAACAGTTCTAAAAACCTTCTTGATTCTTGATGAAGATAAAGGATAGGAATTAAATAATCCCTAAATTAAACTTTTAATTCAGAGTTACACCAAAGAAGAAATGTAAAGAAGCCATTCCATTTTCTGTAGGGAAAACAAGAATCTAGGTTTTTCTTCACTGATTTTATAGCTGCTGGAGTGTAAAACAAAACCACATTCATATCCCAGATTATTTAACTGCCTTGCTGTCACTCGAATCTACACGTTTGGGCATTTCCTCAGGAGAAAGAATGTGGAAAGTATGGCCAAATAAAACTACAAGCTGAATGCCACCACTCTGTCACTCATCAGTTAAATTACTGCATTAGTTGAGAATGCTGTTCAAACTAGACTCCTTGGACTCGCCTACCATAATTACTGGTTATTTTTCTTCTCCCTCCTTAGATACTAGCAACTGGATACTTTTCATATGTCTTCCACTGGACCTCACTCCTCATCGCCATGCCTCCCTTTCCCAGAGACCTGCCTACTAAGCATGGGTGGTGGTGGGGAGGACAGGTTTTCAACTCAGCCAACTCCAGGGGATTAAATGGAATGAAGAGAAGACCCGGCACCAAGAACATACCTCGTGCACTTTACAACCACTGGCCACAGGATACCTGTCTTCCATGACCTCTCACCCTAAATTCCTGCTGCACAGAAAACAGCTGCCCTCACTCACTCAGAAAGTCCTCCAACTTTTAAACACTATACACTCCTTCCATCCTCCCAAAGTAAAATCGCCATCTTGGTTTTAAAAGGATTCTTCATTACCTCTGCAGCTGCCATTCCTTGATTATTCACTTAAGACTTTTTTTTTTTTTAATGGAGCACCTACTATAAAGACAGTGAGAAATGAGAGGCTGGGATGAAATCCCAGAAGTCTCTGATTTAATCTGGTCCTGTATACACAAAGGAATTAAGCTCTATATTGTGAGGTACTGTGTAGAACAGGAGCTTGGAGAAAGAAAGGGAAGGGACGACTAGAGGAGAAAGAGCATGATCCAGGGTGGTCAAAATGAGCACCATGAGAGGAGCAGTGAGGAGATGCTGGACTAGAAGGGAGAGACTGGGGGAGGGGAGGGGTGACGAGAAATTAGAGTGTGGTACTAACTAGAAGGAAAAGGTCTCTTGAGACAGGCAGAGTAAATTAAACACTATGAAGCAGGAATACATGGCAAAAGGGGTATTTAAAACTCTTAATGATAAAGGATGAAGACTCCATTTGAAGGGATCAGAACTATTCTGAGGGAGAATGACTAGGAGGTGGCCATAGTATATGAGCTGGAAGGAGATGAAAAAGGAAGGAACTGGAAAAAGATGAAGGGTGTGTGCGCGTATTGTGTGTATGACAAGTTAGATATAGATTTGACCACCAATTTTCCAAAATAGTCCTAAATTTTATCGTCAAGAAAAGAAATTATTTAAATATACAACTAAAGATATGATTGATTACATTTATATACGCTTTTAAGATTCTTCATACAAACTCAAAAGTCAGAAAAAAAATCAGTCTTTGTATTCCTATTTCATGGTTCACAAATTTTAGTTAAAGTCGACATAAGAGTTAAAGATGAAGTACCTAGAAAATGCCACCACTGACCCAAACAGTGCTCTAATCTTAGGAAGTCTGTTCAAGTAATTTGCTACCTTAGAATATACATTGCATTCTGAGAAACAACCCTCCCTTCCAAGGCTGGCCCCTCTCAGAATTTCCCACCCTGAATGCCTCCATCTGTTCGCCACCAAGGCAAGCCTCTTCCAGACACAGCTGGAGCCTTCTCTCACAAGGCCCCTCTGTCGTCTTCTGGTAACCACTGAATTTCAACAGAATTACAGCTATTTTCCCAGAGTAAACATTTGATTATAGAAAACCAAAATCCAAAGAGGATCCTAAACATGCATTTGTATTTCAATAGCTTTTACCAACTTTCAAAGAATATTTTACCACTGAAGGTAACAATGAGAAAAACTGAACAGTTCTGAGTTTCACTAGCTCTGTATCCTGCCCGATTCCTTCTTTAAGGGCTGATGAATGAAGTGGTCAAAGGCAAGATGATGGGGTGAAGCACCTGTATTATTCACAAATTAGATAATTTTTATAAGTTAAAACAGACCATACTAAAATATTAAAGCAAATGTTAAAAATTAAAATTAGCCAAAGGCTGTAGAGAATTTAGGGCAGTCTGCTAAATAATTTTTTTAAATAATAAAAATTAAAGTAAAAACTATATGCTCTACAAAACCAACATGCTAGTTTTTCACAATACTATAATGTTTAATATTTACCATGTTTATCACCTCAACATAGTTACAAATGTAAAAAGACCATAAGCATGATTTTGATGGGTTAAAATAATTTTTAACTCAATCTTACAGAGATAGCTGAAACAAATCTAAATATCTATTGCTGAACACAAATTTATGAGCAAGGATGATCTTTTTAATGATTCAACTGTCCTTTAAGTTTTCCTTTAAGTTTCAAGGAAGAAAATAAGAAAGCCAGGGTAAATTCAAAATTAAATACTAAGTCTGACTCATTTATTTCTAAAATTCATCTTGATATTGTGGAAAAGACAAATAAAATGAAAGTCAAAAGAATTGGTATCTAGTCCCAGCTTTGCCACTAACTGCAGCCTTGGCAAAGTTACTTCCTGGCTCTCATGCTTTCATAGAGATCTGAGATGAATTGCTCCTTATGGTTAAAAATCTGTGCTTTTAATGGTACGATTTATAAACAAATTAGAGAATACAGTAAATAAGGACAGAGAAATAAGGAAAGCATGACTGAGGAAATAAAACAAAGGGAAAGGCATGAAAAAAATGTGAATACCGTAATAGCTCAAAATAAGTTTATACCAAAGTGAGTAGCTGACCCATATGTTACGATATCCCTGGCATGACTGATCCGGGAAGATTCACACAAAAATATTTTAATTGCTTCAGAGTTAAGTAATGATGTAGCCATTAAGAAATGTCAAACTACTAAATACATGAAAAGGATTTAATCTTTCAACCAATTATACTCTGCTACATGCTTAATCATTGTGGCGGGGACTTCATATTTTAGTCTGTTCTCAAAATAAATCCTTAGTAGTTACTATCATCTCCTTTAACACATAACAACAGCTAACTTACACTGAGTGTTTCCTGCATGTTAGGCCATCCCTGCTCTTCACTTAGTCCCCACAACACTATGAGGTGAATGTTACTCTCCCCTTTCACTGACAGTCCAGGCAGAGAGAGGTTAAAAACCCACAGTCCGAGTTTTGAATCCAGAAGGTACGGCTCAAGAATATATGCTTTTAACTACTCTACCATGGCCTCTCTACCACATGGCTTATAGACGAAGAGACTGAGGTTCAGAGAAGTTAATCAGCTTTTCCAGGTCACAGAGTTAGAATAGCAAGGCTAGAATTTCAGCCTTGTTCTGTGAACTCCAAAGCCCAAGTTTCCTTATAATTTTCTGTAATTTAATTAACTTTTTATTGGATGCTGACTCCAAAATTACTTGAGTGACCCTCCCTTTCTTAACATAAAAAGTGATTCCTAGTAGGGCCAGAGGTAAAGCTAAGTACCATAAACGGAGCGCCACTTTACCACTGACTCACTAGATCACTGTTTCCCTAACTGTGGTCTAAAACCAATTTACAGGTTATGACCAGCCTTAAAAAAAGAAAAAGAAAATGAAAAAAATAGACTATTACAAGGTTCTGCACAAAATTAAGATATTATTTCAGATATGTATGTAAGCAGGTATTACAGATACGTATGCATTTGTGTGTAACATGAAGCAAAGTAGATTTCTCACTGTGAATAAGTATTTTGAAAGCTACTGAACTAAATAATGGAATAAGTAACATTAAACTTTGAGGTTGAGGTAAGAGAAGTAAGAATCTGGGGTCTCAACAATATACACTAATTCTGAAAATAAATGAAAAAGCTTTAAGAAGGGTATGACTGGAGGGAGCGGCCAAGATGGTGGAGGACAAAGACCCTGAGCTCACCTCCTCTCATAAACACACCAAGTCACAACCATCTACAGAACAACTGACGATGAAAAGGACTGAAACCTGCCAGCAAAGATCTTCTACAACTAAAGACCTAAAGAGGGAATCACAAGAAGATGGGTAGGAGGGGCGGACTATATCAAATCCCATGCCCCGGGGCAGGCAATCCACAAACTGGAGAATAATGCAGTTTCTCCCACAGAGCTGAGAGTTTGGAGACCCACATCAGGTTCCCCAGCCTGGGGGTCCAGACAGGGAAGTTGAGCCCCCAGAGCATTTGGCTTTAAAGGCCAGCAGGGTTTAACTGCAGGAGACCTGGGGGAAATAGAGATTCCACTCTTAAAGTGTGCACACAAAATCTCATGTGTACCAGGACCCAGGGCAAGAGCAGTAATTTGTAAACCTATCTTCTGGTCTTGGAGAGTCTCCTGGGGGGTGGAGGGTGGGGTGGCTTCGGCTTGCCCTGGGGACATGGACACTGGTGGCAGACATATTTGGGGGCGTTTAGCCATGTGAGCTGCTGGTGGCTGCCATCTTGGCACCTTAGGGCCAAGACCTGGCCCCACCCAACAGCCTATAGACACCAGTGCTGGCATGCCTCAAGCCAAACAACTAACTGGACAGGGACACAGCCCCACTGTTCAGCAGGCAGACTACCAAGAGACCTCCTAAGCCCACAGCCACCTCCAGACATGCGCCAAGACCCAGCTCCATCCACCAGTGGGCAGGCACTCATCCTTCCCACCAGGAAGCCTGCACAAACCTCTAGACCAGTCTAGAGGCCTAAGGATTGAGTCCAGCAACAGCAGGCCAAACTCTGTCATGGGACCAGCTGGGCCCTGGCCCTGCCGATTAGCAGGCTAACACAACCCGCAGGACACAGCCAACCCCACCCTATTGTGTCAGGGACAGCCCATCACCCACCCATGATTTGAAACGACCTCTGGAATCCCTGGGCCCTGTAGGCAGACTCCAGGAGGCTGCTCCGCCTGCTGGTAGTCCAGCACTAACCCCGGGATCCGGCTCAACTGCCAGTGGGTGGGCAACAGCCCAAGAGTCTTCAGGACCCTGAATCCACCCACCAGCAAGCTAGCACTAGCCCCAGGGCCACATAGGGTTCTGCAACTGGCAGACCAGGCCCAGCTAACCAGTGGCCAGCAGCAGCTGCAAAAGGCAGGGCCTGGCAACCAGCCAAGCGAGGGGCCAACGAAGCCTACTAGACTGTCCACGTAGTCAGTCTGCCACAACAGAAGGACCATGCAGCCCTCTTAAGGGGAACCCCTAGAGCATACAGTGTGGGTGACCAGAGGGGACTGAGCTGCATTTTGAAGTGAACTAACTGGCTGAACATTTTGTATGTTCCAGCATTAGTCCGTTCTCTCCAACAGAATGGGAGAAATCATGTGCAAATGATGCAACCAACAAGAGATTAATCTCCAAAGTATACAAACAGTACATATATGTGTAATGGAATACTACTCAGCCATAAAAATAATGCCATTTGCAACAACATGGATGGACCTAGAGATTATCATACTAAGTGAAGTAAGTCAGACAGAAAAAGATAAATATCACAGAATATCACTTATATGCGAAATCTAAAAAAATGATACAAATGACCTTATTTACAAAACAGAAAAAGATTCACAGACATAGAAAACAATCTAATGGCTAGCAAAGAGGAAGGGAGGAATAAATTAGGAGTTTGAGATTAACATACTACTATATATAAAACCAGTAAACAACAAGGACCTTCTGTATAGCACAAGGAACTATATTCAATACTTTGTAGTAACCTATCATGGAAAAGAATCTAAAAAAGAATATATATACATATATATACACACACACATATACTAAAAACTGAATCACTTTGTTATACACCTGAAACCAACACAAAATTGTAAATCAACTATACTTCAACTTAAAAAAAAGACTATGACTAGCAATGATATCAGTAACAATAACAAAAACATACCAGCCTCATTTAACCCTCTTATTGTGCAGATGAGGAAACCAAAGTGTAAAAGTTTAAGTAAGTCTGCCTGATGTCAAACCATAGGTCTTTCTCAAACCCTGTGCCCTTCTAAGTAGAAAGAAGTACTACTGTGCACTTTTCCAGGAATAAATTTGTATTTTAAAATACAAACTATCATGCAATAGGGAAACAGCAAAATGTACTGGTTTCTACAGTTATTTGAATCATGCCAAGACTGTCTACCTGGATAGAAACCCGTAACAGAAAGAAAAACTAGTTTCAAAACTGAAACGGAACGGAGCGCGGAGGAAGGGGGTGGGAAGGGATAAATTGAGAGTTGGAGATTTGCAGATACTAACTACTACTATACATAAAATAGATAAACAACAAGTTTCTACTGTATAGCATGGGGAAGTATGTTCAATGTTTTATAGTAACCTATAACAAAAAGGAATATGAAAACGAATCTATGTATGACTGAAACTTTATGCTGTACACCAGAAATTGACACAACATTGTAAACTGACTATAATTAAAAAAAAAAATTAAAAAAAAACTGAAATGGAAAATTTATTCCAGGGAAGATCACGGAGAGTGAAGCTTTAGTTGCAAGGATTTTTATGGCAACAGGGATACTAACAGATTAAACTGAAATATCCAATAATAGTGAAATAGTTAACTATAGTCTATTATATATTTAATATATTTTAAATATATTTTAGTAATCTTAGCCAGTCATTTTTAAATGATGATGTAAAAATATTTAATGATATAGAAATATATTAATAATGTAATATGCAGAGAAAAGCAGGTTACAAAACAGTGACCTTGTTCATTAAAAACAACATACCCCTCACCACTCAAATCTACCTGGGTTCTGTTTGGGAAGGGAGAGCATTCAGACAGTGAGTCTGCATACTGGAGGATGCCAAAGTATCCAAACCTATCTGGTTGCTAGGTTGTAAACAGCAAACAGTATGAATTCAAAGAATAAGAGATTCTTGTGAAAATGTATCTCAAACTGTTTTTTGAGTTTGGAGAGTGAGAGTTCAGAGAGAATCACAAATACACAAATGTCCACGAGCGAGGCAGGGGGCACAGAGAAACCGAAAACCCATGAAAGCCCAGCGGATTCCCATCTCCCAGCACAAACTCACCCTACGGCACGTGTTCTGAGTGAAAAGGGGGTAGATTTCCTGTCTCTATTTCAATTTTTGTTTCTCTTCTCTCTTAAAAGTTGGTACCAAGTGTATGCAGGGGAATCTACTTTTGTTAAATGTACATATGGTGACACTCCACTGTATGTGTCTATGTGTCTATATAAGGATATATATGTACATTTTTAAAAATTTATGAAGACGAACATTTGGATGGCTGCATGAGATAATATTAAAAATGGTTATCTTCAGGGGATGGGATTAGAGTTTTTAATTTTCCTAATTATGCTTAGCTGTGCTTTCCAGGTGTTCTTATAATTAACATATACTATTTCTACAATAAATTATTAAAATTGATACAGCAAACTGATATAAAGTAATGCAAAAACTTTGTTTTGAGGGATAACATGAACGTTTTGTTTTGTTTTGTTTTGTTTTTATTGAAGTATAGTCAGTTTTCAATGTTGTGTCAATTTCTGGTGTAATAACATGAACATTTTAATTTCGACAGAAGCTCCACTTTGTGAGCTCGTGGATTAAACAGGAAGACTAGTTTTACCTCCAGGGCCTTCTGTTGCAGACGGTCACGTTCTACTTTTTCTTTGCCAACAAACCATGCTTCCCATGGCGTCAGGCTGCTTTCTGGTAAGAGCACCTGTTTCTGTTCTTCTTGGTTATCTTCGGATTCAACCACACTATTACAAAAGAGAGGATATGATAGCATTTGTGCTCAAAATTCTTTGGGTTAACAGTTAAAATCACTGAGCTGTACAATAAAAGCCAAATTCCATGATACATTTACAGTACTGTGATTTTTACATATAAATATACATGAATTAATTATATATAAATATACACTTGAAAAATCATGAACAGGAAGTCCAATATTTTCCATCAGTTTTATCCTTCAGACTGTCTCTGAATTCCTTCATCTTCTAAAATCATATTATTTAAAAATCTACTGGCATGTGGGTTACCATATCCAGGGCACCTGTCTGAATGACAATTTTTTATTCTTAAAAATCTTATACTTGGACGACTAATTAAACACATGATCCTAGTCAGATCTTGGAGCAGACTTTTTCCCTTTTCCTCCCTTAAATAGTTCACAAAGGAAAGAATGTGTCTATCCATAGAGAGGATAAAGCCAATGTGGCCACAATGAGGGATTCGGGGTGAAGAGTGAACAAAACTTCTTTATCCTCTCAACTTTTCTGGTAAGTTTGAAATTGTTTTGAAATTAAAAGGTACAAAAAAAAAATAGATGGCCCTTGTCTTCTTTAACGTTCTGGTGGACTCCGTTTTGCCAGTTCTCCCCGCACAGCTGGGTTATCTCCTACCACAGTCCCCACCTGCACCACGCACCTCTGTCAGTCTGTCTCTTCTGTGTACATGGAAAGCAGCTGCTCACTCAAGCTAAAGAAAGGAGGGGAGGGGAAATACTAGGAGTACACACAGACATAAAGACCACAGGGCCTTGACCAGACACACAAGCCTCATAAAACTCAGGAAAAGCAGAACTATGAGCACCCATGGAAAGAAAGGTTGTTCAGGACCCAAGGCAGCGCTAAAGATCAGGTTATTAGAGACTCAGCCCCTCCCTGTCTCTTTAACGTTCCTGCTTCAAGCAACCAACTGCCTCGCCCACTGCTATGCACAACTTTTTTCAGCTCATAGCTTCTGTTCACTTGTCTTTTTCTGCCACTATTTCTTCATTCACCCACGTTCTTATGGAATTTGTATTCTAGTGGGGAAGGGACACTGTTGATGTACTGTTTATTTCTTACATACATCTTTCCTTCTCAGTTTTACCAAACACCCTCAACTGCTCTCATGGCTCCAACTATCACCAGGTGCTAGTGATGCCCGAATCAGTCACTCCAGGCTAGATCCTTCTCCTGAGCTCCAAACTTTCATTTCCATCCTGATCACTCCACTTAAATATCACAATCAGCCCAAAACAAGTCTAATCATCTTTTACCACCACCGGCTACCCTCCCCACCAAGAAAAATCTTACCCCTTCTCTTATGATCCTACCTTGATGAAGAGTACCAACATCTACCCAGTCAGCCAAGCCAGAAACCCAGATTTCTGACTCCTGCTCCTCGTCCACATCTGGTACCCCTCCCCACACACCCATATAATCACCTTGTCATGTCCATCCTACTTCTTTTAGTTGTCTCCAGCCATTCTCCTTTTCTCCAACCCTACAACCACTTCCTGGACATAACCCCCTTTCTCCCACCACTTCAAACCATTCTCCAGTTGCCTGATTCATCCTCCAAATGCATCCTCCCCATGTCAAAGTTCCTCCGTGGCTCCTCTGCCCTCAAGATCAAGTCCAAACTCCACAGCCTGACACTCTTGAGTTGGCCCTGCCTATCTTCCAGACTCTTCTTCCCCCAACAGCTGATCCGGACTCCACATTTCAGCCTGGCTGAAGTGAGGCAGGCTGATGAGCATGCCATGCAGCTCTGCCTAAAACTCAGAAATTCCTTCTACCTCCACACACGGCCAAAGAGCTTAGATTAGGGAGTAAGACATTTGGGGTGAATCTCTACCTGCTCCTTCCTATCTGTGAACATTTTAAGCCTCCATTTCTCATCTGTAAAATGGAGGAAACAGTAGCGGCCACCTCACAGGTACTGTTGCATGAAGGGCTAAGTTCAGTTCTGGGCTCTCAGTAAGCATTTGGAACGTGTCGTTCACTAGTGCTAGGAGGGGTATAGCCAATTCCTACTCTCCCTTTTAAGATTCAACTCAGGCATTAATCTTTATTGCCTCACATTGAAACTCTGCAAAAAATCTGGACTAAGTGCCCTGGGCTTTCTGTCACTTGTCCATCTCTGCCAGAGGCCATGCATTCCTTGCAGACAGAAGACATGTCTTAACTCATATTTTCATTTCAAGAGTCTAGCTTAGGGTCTGGAATATAGTCAGCTCCTAAGAAATGTTTGTTGAAAAGAGGAAATCTGTGAGATCATTTTTTTAAAATTATACTTTAAATATTAAATTTCTTGCCGTATCAGTTTTAACGAATATATTCAAAATGTGTGGCACATATCCTGCAGCTCCACCCATAATCAAGAGAGGCTTGATAAGCAGCTGTTTATGGCCAACATGTTTATTAAGGCTCAGGTTTCCTAACGGATAGAGTGATATAGAAACCATGATAAAGCTGAATAAGTAGTCAGCCCAATGCATATTATAAAAGACTCCAGGAAAATACTTATTATCTTGTCTGAAGTCACCTGTAAGCTTCATCTCAGTCCTGTCCAAAGCACTTGAAGGCCAATGCATCCTCCAAGCTTGGCGTTATACACCTAAAAGCCCCGGAGCTCATCTGTCACATGCAGTTGGTGCCTGAGTCTATCCCCCAAAAAACTTACACTCTTAATTTTGCCAGGCATATCCCTGTGGCAGGTGAGGATGGAAAAAAAGGCATAAAATCCCACACAGCTCTACGTACATGCCCTGGTCCACGAGAGGATGCTCACTGCCCAGAACTATGGCTGGACTGTGACTCGGCTGCCTACTATCCTCATCCCATCACCCCCAAACTGTCTAGGGCACCAACTAAAAATCAGAGGTAAAGAGGAGGAATGAGGAAACGTTCTAAACACTTTCCTGAAAAGAAGTGCTAGGTTTTCTGAAGCATTCAAAAACAGTCACCCCGTCTATCTGTTCTCTAGGAAGCGGGAAACAGGCATTGATTCACCAGCATCTGACACTTGCCACACACAGGCCGGACGACTCCTGCATTCTTCCTAGACCACATCCTACCTATTTCTTTGACTGACAGGGAATGAAGTGTGACAAGGAAGGCAGCTATAGCCCTGGGGTGTTAACAGCTCACTGGGCTGTGGCTAAGATTTGACATAAACAGGACTGGCTTCGCTCATGGTGAGCTCCATTTGGTCAGGGTTTGGCTCTTGGAAGCTACTGCAAGGTCTCAGTGGCTGAGCTGTAGTGTCGATGGCCACACCATTCCTTTGGTGGCTAAATTGTGTCTACATTGCTTAGTCCTGCTGATTAGCTTCAGAAGGTATTTTCCAAAGCCTTAAAATTTATTTTTAAAATCTTTGGGACCAACTCAGTCCTGAAGAATCTATACAAGGGCCCACATGGAAATGGTCTCCTAAAACTGTTTCTTGCTGCTACAACCAGTGTGGACAAGTGGTTTGCTTGGATACTATTACTGATCTCAATTCCTACCAATGTACTTACTGTTTACTCCTCTTAAGAGATTCACTGTTGTAACTGTGTATATGAGTCACTTCAAATGGTTCCATATTCCATTCACTCCCTCTGGGTGCTCATACATACACAAACCCATAGCATGGTTTCTCTGGTCTGTATGCCTTAGATTTCCTGTATTGTACCTTGTGCAACTTGACAGTCAGAAACCTGTAAATGCTTTCTGAAGATGATATACGAGTCCACCCCAGAGTGGACCTGTATTACTAAGCCTAGCTCAAAAAAACATATTCCTGCAGGGATAGGCCCTAAGCTCCTATATATACCCAACATACCCAACAACAGGCATATAGCATAGGGAAGAGAAAACTTCATCAGTATTTGGTACTAGGCCCAGCTCTGCTAATAACGAGGCATATGCCTTTGAATTCGACTTTTTATTTGTAAACTGAGCCACAGTTTTGTTACCTGTAAAATGAGTGGCTTGATCTAGGCTTTAATTCCATGAGAGTAGACCCTGTGTCTATCTTGTTTGTGGGCTCCAGTATCTAGACTAGGATGTGGCACAAATGTTTGCTAAATGAACAATTGTAGACATAAACAAATTAAGATGACTTAAATAATCCCTTTGATTCTAAGACTCTTTGATTGAAATGACTGCTAAGTGCTCAGAGCAGATTCAACATTCTCTCTAGGTGCCGAAGTTGACGTTGCTAACCTCTCTGCTTCAGCTCCTTATTTACAACATAAAAGCTATACTGCTTACTGCAACCTACTTCACTAGCAATCAGACTTTTTTCAAAATAGCTACAGGTATTACTAAGGTGCAGTAAACCACATTTTGGTGTTAAGGTTTGGACAAGAGTTCTAGTGTCCACAATCTGATTTCTGAGTACTCACAAAACTCCTGAAAATGTAGCAAAATTTTGTGTTTAAGACTATGTGTGTTTCTGTGGCGAGTGAGACTGTAGCAATCATCACATTCTCAGGAAAATAGGATTAAGAATGACGGAAAATCTGTGGTCCTGCTCAAGAATCGGCCCAGGACTCTACGTGCCAAAAGGAGCAGCACCTGTGCATGCAGGTGCCTGCGCAGCCCTTGAGAGAAGACAGAAGGGCGTTTGGCCACCGGAGGAAGGTACTCAGAAGGGTCTGAGGATTCTTGAGAGGGGCTGCATAGGCCGGAGGCCGCGGGTTTACCTGGCGCACCCCTGTAACTCCATTCCTCTCAGGCTCTCCACCTTGGCCTCTGAGTCCTGAGCATCTTCGTCCACATCTTCCTCTTCGTCCCCGTCACCATCGTCGTCGTCAAACGGGAAGCTCCGGTGGCCGAGGGGAGACAACAGCGACAGGGTGGAATTGCTGCAGCTCAGCGGCGGCGACAGCGAGCACACCTCCACCGCCTCCAACGCCTGCCCCGGGGCGCCCGTCATGAGGACGGAGAAGGAGCCCGAGGAGGGCCGAAACCTGGACCTGCACTGGCCCAGGAACCGGCTGTCGGGAAGGGGCAGAGGAGCCCC